AGCTGTAGAGTAGGATAGTATGGTAGAGTAGGCTGGGCGCTGTGCGCCAGACAGAGAGAGCGACTCTGGATACTGTGTTGGTGTGGCCTACGGGCGTGGACATTGGCTCAATACTTCATTGTATTGCTCTTTATGGATGGTTTTCTCGGTGCATTTGTACTCTCTACTTGGGATACTACTACTTGCTCAGCTGTGTGATTTCGCAACTTGGTTTTATGTGTATCGCTCACACTCATATTCCTTGCAATTTGGTATCAGAGCTGGTTGTGATCGCCGCTTACCTGGACAACTTCATTGTATTGCTCAGCTGTCTATTGACTCTGACCAACGGGCTGAGACATTACCAGGACAAAGCTCAGTGGTTAAAATGAATTTGCAGCTCTATAGGTAAAATTTAGAACGCTGTCACTACAAGTGTGCGACCACGTAGAAACACTGAAAATCCGATTTCTACCCGAAAGAGCAAAAAGTTAGGACCGTGTAGGAGAATTCGAGGTGAGATCTGTACTAATCATACTCTCTCTCAAGCACATGTCCATCCAAAGAGTGCAGTTTAGTGTGAGAACATGAACTTGCTCAGACAATGAATGCAGCTCAAAGCATACACAAGGGATTAGTAAGACAAGGATTCACTGAAACTGACGATGAAATTCTTGTCAGACTGCAGTCTGTCCATCAATGGTGTTTGAGAAATGGTATCGGCCTGGAACTTAGTGTACTCATTCTCAAGCACAGAGGATGCACAGACAAACCAATGGGATCAGTGAGCGTACTCGTTCTCAAGCACAGAGGATGCACAGACAAACCAATGGGATCGGTGAAGGAATCAGACTCAAGGTAGCTATACCAGGAGGAGGTTTCCATCAGTTGAACACACACACCGGTAAGTTACAAATAACCAAACTGCACCTGATCCTTCTTCAACAAATAGATACTCAGTTCAGCAGAATACACTGCTGACTGGGTCAGGTTACAGCGTAGTGATTGTCCCATGAAGGGCAATACTTGACAAAGTGTTGCTTAGCACATCTGAGGCAGGCGCCGGCATCCTTCCTCTTTTGCCATAGCCCGTTTGGGATACGCAAGTCCCTCCATGGGAGAGAGGAAGGATCCATGGGGTCAGCTGGACATTTGACAAACTTGGGCAGATTTTGCTTCTGAGGTCCACAGGGGCATTTGCCAAACCCCATAGGAGAGGGGGACCTTTGTCTCTGGAGCTGATTTGCGCTCTTCATTGCGCTTACTAGTTCCTGAGCCAAAGTCAAAATAGCCTGGTCCGGAAAGCCTCCTGCACCTTGACTAGCTGAGGGAGTCAGTCCTCTTTGGTCAAAGCCTGCAGAGTCTTCCACAGACTCCATCGTGTGCCACCTCCCTTTGCGCTTCCTCTGACTTTGAGAAGGGGGGGTGCTTCCCGCCTGGGAAGTGGACTGGATTTGGAGTTTGGCCTCAAGATCCAAGGCTGCTCTGCCAAAGGCCTTCCAGTCCTTGTGACCTGCAGAAAATAGGACCTGTACATAAGTTATCGGGGTAGCCTGGACAAACAGCTGCAACTTGTCCTGGTCTGACATGGATAACCCAGGTGTAGAGGTTAGCCTTTCCCAAACTGCGTAGAGCTTGGAGAGAGATCCATGCCATTGTGACTGGACTATCCTCACAAGCTTTGCAGCAGCTTTCTTCACTCTCTCTCGATTGGCGAACCTCTCCTCTAGACCCTTAAATATGTGGTCCATTCCTACTGTGACAGCCCAGTCTGCCAGCTGTTTCTGGGCCTTATTGGCCTCAGAAGTAGCCCACTGAAGGGCAGGCCGTCCCAAACGGGCCACGGTGGACTGCACCTTGGTAACCTCTGGGCAAGTGAGTCCCTTGAGGTACCATCTCATCGAGGCAGTCCAATCTGCTACATCCACTTTGAGGTTATTCTCAGTGAATGTTTCAGGTTGGACCGTCTTGGGTCTGCTGGCCTAGACCTGCAGTCACTTTAGTCACTTAGCCTCAGAGGGACGGCACCTTTGGAGGTGTAGCCGGTCTGCTCTTGGGGCTACTGGCTTGGGATGATGCAGCAGCAGAGGACCTTGCATGGGAATGGGGTGTGGCAGGAGTAGGAGTAGGAGTAGTGGGAGTAGGAGCAGGGAGGAAACATAGATTAACAACTGCCACAAAACGATCGAAGGAATCTGCAAGGGAGGAGAGTTTGGTTTCGAATATGGACAATCTGTCCACCATCAAAAACTTTCATCCCAGGTGGTGTGCTCTTCCCTCTTCACTTCCTTTGAATGCCTCGGCCTTCCTTCCGTCTGCTTCTCCATCTGCTCCAACTGCAACCGAGCTGCCTCTGCAGCCTTACCTACTTCCCCAATATTGAGCTCCGTGACAGGCAACTTGCAATTCCTTGCACTGACTGAACTCTCTTCCCCATTCTAGAAGATTCTTTTCACACAACAAGATAAACGCGGAAGTGTTCAAAGGCTGAAGATCATTCACTATTCCATTATGAGATTAAAACAAACTTAGAGATGTGTCAGAAACAGCCAAAACGTTTACTGACAACCGATCTGATCTAGACTACAAATGGACTGACGACTGACAGATGCTGACAGACACAGACAGGGTCTGACGTCGGACCAGGAAATATACGAAACGGAGTCATTTGAACGAAACCTGATTGAAGATATCCGGGCGGTCAACCATTGACCGCCAATCTGCAGCAGAATATTGTAGAACCAGGCTGATGCTGATGTCAGACCTGCACCCAAGATCCCCACAGTCTTCCAATCAAGTAACTCGTCAAAGTAACCGCAGTGGCGGCCCAGACGGTCGAACACACCGTCAACAGGCAAGGGCTGTAACTTCAGGGTCACAAGGCCCTCAGGTCAACCAGTCCACTTAGGGGTGATGCAGCGTTCAACTCCACTCTCACCAGCTGAAACTTCCAGTGAACGTTCCAACACTTCGTATCTTTGTTTTTTTTTGTTTTTTTTTCGATAGTGGAAATTCTCCCCTCGCACACTACCTTCCACCACCTCTCACCAACGACATCCGTTGAAGAAAGCAAACAACAAGTCCCTACTCCAACCGCCGCTCAGAAGGGAGGTTGCCACTCAATTGCTTGCCGGTCGCACAACTGTTATGTACCTGATTGAACTTCAATCCACAACGGACTCACACATTCCCATACACGCATACAATTGCAGAGTAGACTCGAAGGAGGCAAATCCACACAAAACAGGAGAGAAGATACGCACAGCGGAAGCTCAAAACACACAGAGAATTGAAAAACGAATTTCAATTCTGCAATCCCTCGTCCTCCTCCAATCAATCCAGAGTACTTGTGCCAAGAATCACAACCGCGTTTACAACAACCCCGAACAACCAGAAACAAGTGTTCAACGAAATATGCAAGAGTCTTCTTCCTCCTCGCCACCTCATATCCCTGGCTATGGCTGCCGTAGCAGAAGTAACCCCACAGCTGTCACAACGTGCCAATCTGAACCAGCAACCCAGGCCAACCCTAATGATAACAGTGCCAGCTCAGCACCCGCACGGAAGTGCAGCGCTGGAAGTCCTGATGAAGAAGGAGACAACCGATCCAGCACTTCGAAGAAGACAAAGTACCTCGAGAGGAGGAACAGCAGATATGGCTGCCAAGTGGAAGATGGCAGCACCCAAACCCAATAACACAGTCCTGTGGAAGCTCTCATGCAGAGCTGCGAAATAGCAGCAGCGCGATCTTGAACTTTGTTTCAGAACCCCAGCTATGGCTGGGCTTTGAGGAAGAAGATGACCTTGCCCAAAATAGAGCAGCAGCGCTCCAGCAACGGACGGGCAGAGTTTCCCCAGCCAACCAAAAACGTGAAAAGACCAAAACCAAATTCCATGCCCGCTACTTCTACCCTCTGCCGAGACCTACGACGGACTCCAAAGGCAACAACCCAATACTCATCTGCATCTAGATGGAAACAGGGGGAAAAAGGGACCTAGACCTATGACAAGGCAAAAGGAAAAGGTGGAATGGCCTAAGGCTACCAAACAGAGACTACTTGTGAAAGATCGCGCTGCCCAAGTCCCATAGGGCTCAACACTCACAAACAAAACACATACAAATCACATGATCAAGTCCCGCAAGGCTCAAAACAAGAAAACAAACTATAAAGCCAAACACTTAGTGTACAGCCCCACTGGGAAACTGCGATTTATTGCATACTGGTGGTTTAGAACCATTCATTTTGAGTGAACATCCTGAGACACACTTGAGTGCCCAGCTGCACACCAGGAAACGAGCAGCTCTTGCGTGTAAGCAGCATGAGGTTTGGTCAAGAGCAATCCCAACGCCAGACCGTTTCTTGACATGGAAGACATGAACATCTTCATGTTTTTTACTTGAGACCTTCCATGCCACTGAACGCTTCGCAGCACAGTCTCAGATAGCGCACATGGAATACTTTTCTGAAAATTTCTGAATGGTTAGCATTTGTATGAGATCCATGCTCCGACTCCTTTGAGTATATAGTGCCTCATGCCTGACCCTGTTTTCACATAGCAAAACCAAGTTATTCATCCCTCTGTGGTTGTTCCTTATTTTTACCCTCTGACGTCTCCTTCTCTCTTTTTTGCTGAAAATGGATGGTGTTCTCTTCTTGCCTGTGTGTGTGCGTGCGTGGTGTGTGTGTGTGTGTGTGTGTGTGTGTGTGTGTGTGTGTGTGTGTGTGTGCAGTTTGAGTGCTCTGGCCAGCCAAGGGTTTGCTATTGGCACTGTTTGCCTTTATCTGTCAGCGGGGCTTGCTGCCTGGTCGCTGGTGGTCTATATGAAAGGCATATTGCGAGTGCTCGTGAAGGGTTGATTGTGGCCAACACTCGAGGCCAGTTGGTGAAAGCCAGAAAGGATCTTCATTCTGAACTCTTTGACTTCACTCTTCAATTAATGTTTTACCATGTGCAAATATCAATTATTACCTCAGCCTAACATTCTGGGCCGATTCTTCAGAACTACCAGCCTGATTTCAGCAGTGTGTCCGCCGAGGGAGAGAAAGAGAGGGAACTGTGTCTGCTTATGGACAAGGTGCATTTGGTGAGCGCCTACGGATATACATATTACACACATTCAGAGCAACCAAACACACACACATACAGGCTGTGTGTGTGTTTGTGCGTCTGTGTGTGAGAGAGAGAGGGGGTGGGGGTGGGGGGGGGAGGGGGAGTGTGTGTGTGTGTGTGTGTGAGAGAGAGAGAGAGAGAGAGAGAGAGAGAGAGAGAGAGAGAGAGAGAGAGAGAGAGAGAGGATGTTCGGAATAATGGATTGTGAAAGCCCATATGCAATGAGGTGGCACATCACACGTAGGGGTAGGGTGGTTGTGTTGTTTATTAGTGGAAGAATGCAAGAGACGTTCAGGATGGGCAGTGCAGAGTCTTATCTTGACCTTGGCATGTGGAGAATCGTGGGTTGCCGAAGCAGTTGACCGATGGAATGAGGTGGCCCTTTGCCTGTCGATGTTGAGATGCTGCAGTCATTTATTTATAGAAGATATCGGGGTTCTGAGTTCCGAATGCATCAATGTAGAGGTAGGGGAGAGTTGTACTGAGCGTAGCATGCAGTTATGGGCCAGCAACTCTGGCGATTCCGAGGAATGTCACCGGTAGAGCGATTCTAAATGTGAAAGGTTCTGGGGAGAACGACTACAGAGCACATGCCATGCTAGATGTTTACGTCTTATGCTACTGTTCTTGTCACTGTTGACCCTCCTTCATTTCTAGTATTTTTCTATCAATGTGATTATGTAACATAAATTGTCATGCGCCATCCGAATGGAAGGTTCAGATCGTACTGCTGCTTTGGGCCATGGGCTGTATTATTTGCGAATGGATATGCCATCCCAAGTTGGATGGTAATGTGCCCTTTCAAATGTCAAATGCATAAAGGAAGGTTGTCATCTTGCAGAGCTCTCCCGTGTTGGAGAAAACACTCTTCAATGCCATCCCAACTTCCCAAGTGTTCTTTTTTTTTTTTTTTTTTTTTTTTTGAGAGAGAGAGAGAGAGAGAGAGAGAGAGAGAGAGAGAGAGAGAGAGAACACCAATCGGTCACCGTTAACAGTTCTGCTGAATCCTGTCGTGGTACTGAAGATTCTTTCCAGCCTACTCATGATGGCCATGAACAAGGTCATACTCACGCTGGGACTTCTTGGATAAATATGGACAGAAATTGTAGTCAGGTGAATCCAGAGAAAGTGTGACTCTCCTTGATCGACCAGCTATACAATTTAGCTCTCAGTATTCTAACTACCCTTTATGTCCTGCAACAGCCTTGATCTGTTTTTTTTCTTTTTTTCTTTAACCTCCAGATTCGATTCACCCATTGAATGCGAAAACCACAAAATCCAAAGTAAATGATGCCACGGACATCCATCCCTTGTGTACATCAATCGTAGTCAGGGAACTTTGAAGAGGTTGATGACACAGCAAAAGACTAGTATTTGTATGAAAATTGGAATTATCTCGAATGAAGGCGAGAAAATTCTGAGAGTTGAGGGAAACCTTAAAGGCACTTACCAATTAGTTTCGAGAATCCAAAATGCAAGACCCATTTCTCAGCGATGACATGTATGAGGGCGTACTGTACTACTCACACCACCGTCTTCCCCTGAACATAACACATGCGTTGTATTCAAGTTTTTGAAAAAACTCGACCATGATTCGAATAGAATGCACCAAGCTCTTGGCCTTCATAAGCCCCTAGAGGGTCGAAGAACGTGGTGGAGAGTTCAGCAAGCGCATCTACAGAGTCCTCGCGCTGGAGATGCGCCAAAATGGGAGTGAGACCCCAAGGATGGAGGGGTTCTTATGAAGGAGCGGCCAATGATGTGGCCAAGCTGTCGTTAAGGTGGTCAGACATGATGAGATCTCATCAGATTGGACAAGATTCAGTATTTTGCTGATGAGCAAAATCCGGTCTCCATATGTGTAGCACAGTCCCCAATCAGGGGGTTCTTCAAAACTCCAGTAGATGCAGCCATGTGGTGACTACTGTCCTCCATGTTATGCTTGCAGTAGCTAGGGGAGTAAATAGCAGCACGTCGCAGCAATATATATTTGTGCTGTCAAGTGTGTTAGCACCCTAGCCATGTGCGTGCATGTGGAGTGGCACGGGCTCGCGAACTTTTCACCATGTGCTTTAATGAAAGGGGGGGGGGGGGGTGATTGGCAGATGGGGTAGTGCTGCAGCGGACCGGGCCCAATTGGCTGATAAAATGTGGCAGGTAGAGGGGGAAGAGAGAAGTGATGGCGCCGGGGCAGACGGTGGCAAAACATGGGAAGGGGGCGGAACGATGGTGGGCCGGGAAGCAACAAAACATGGTGTGTTCGACGGGGCAGGTGGTGACAAAACAGGGGGAGGGGGCGGAGCGATGGTGGGCCGGGAAGCAACAAAACATGGTGTGTTGGCGGGGGAAGGCTATGGCAGCAGGCTTTCTCCTCGTCGCCACTGCTGTTGATGGTCGCTTCATCAGCGGCAGCGGCTGTGTGGGAGGGACACACGGGAGCGGCGAAGATCTCAACCCGCTCGGATACCAATGTACCAGGATGACGGTGGTGTGGCAGATCCCTTACGGCAGAGAAAAGAGAGAGAGAGAGAGAGAGAGGATATGGTCCCCAGCCTGTGGGAACAGGCAGACGACCTGGTGAGAGAGAGAGAGAGGATATGGTCCCCAGCCTGTGGGNGAGAGAGGATATGGTCCCCAGCCTGTGGGAACAGGCAGACGACCTGGTGAGAGAGAGAGAGAGGATATGGTCCCCAGCCTGTGGGAACAGGCAGAAGACCTGGTGAGAGAGAGAGAGAGAGAGAGAGAGAGAGAGAGAGAGAGAGAGAGAGAGAGAGAGTGGATATGGTCCCCAGCCTTTGGGAACAGGCAGACGACCTGGTCCCACCACCTGAACAGACACACAGCAAAATAGCCCACGGCAGGCCTATAGCAAAGAGAACTGCTGCACCAGTATACACACAGAAGTCGGACAAGGAAGAGGAGGTAGGGTGACACATGCTCAGTTGAGCGATGTATATGGAGCCAAGGATCCGCATAGTGATGAAAAGGATTCGAGTGGGAGATGTAGCTTCAGCAAAGCATCATCGAGCAATGTGCATCCAGATACATATGAAAATGCCACAGTGCGCGACGGAAGACTCAAAGATATGATCTGACCTGTCAGAGACTGACGCGACAACCCATCATACACCACGCATGTGAGAGAGGGAGGAGGGACCACATACATGGAAGAAAGGTCCCTCCTTGGACATACAGATGGGGGAGATACCACAGATGAGGAGATGGGGGAGAGGCGAGATGAAGATGGAGGTGAGGGAGAAGACCAAGATTGCGATAGTGAAGTCCAGAAATAGTCTCCCTGCCGAATGTCCCATCAATGTGTGCCACAAAATGTCGAATCAGATCCTGGGCTTCATGCCTGATGTAACCTCTGCCTGTAACCTCTCTCTCTCTCTCTCTCTCTCTCTGAAGAAGAAGAAGAGGAAAGGAGGAAGGAGAAGAGATGGAGGGCAAGAGCAAGAAGAAGAATACGCCGTCCTCCTTGTTATCTCACCTGCAGGCAACTGCTGCCATGTACTAACTGTTGCCGTGTGTCTCCTCTGTGCTGCAGGGGCGCTGGCGCGAAGACCAGCTATGGCTCCCGGGTAAGATCTCCGCTGACACAGGTATGGCCTCCGCCTCACTCGCTGCCTACACCTCCACCTCTAGCGTAGCGCTGTCGCGCTGATCCAGCAGCATGTCGCCCACGAAGTGAGCTACTCGAACTGTGTGCCTGCCCTGGCGTAGCCCAGCTATAAGTAGCGCTGGGCCTCACGGGTCTCAAAACAGCCTGCCTGGGTCCCTACCGGACGTCCAGGCCTCCCTGCTGCTGATGCAGCAGGGAGCATTCACTACCGGACGAAAATGGACCTGGCCCAACATGGCCTGCCTACGTCCGTACCAGGCCAAGAACGTGGCCTTGTCCCCGAACAGACCGAAAGTCTGTTTGGACAAACTGCAAGTCCGAAAGGACGCCTGAACAGACAAAAATAGGACAGCAAATAAATAAATGAATGAATGCTGCCTCAAATTGAAACCTGTGGCCCTAAGGGCGCGCGTGTGAGGGGCGTGCGGCCTGGGGGCCCGCAGCAACCGTCGGATCCCCAAAATGGGCCCCGTGTGCAGGCTCAGCATGTAACATAGGGGCAACTGTTGAGAAGCCAATTGCAACCATGGCCCCAATGAGTATGCAGCCCCTGCTGATTCCCAGCAAGATACATGCAAACCTGACAAATCGTCTGCTGTTTCAATTTCCCATATGTGTGCTGGCACACCAACTCCCACGTCCTTGTACCAACCAGTCATAAGTACTTCTACATCTACATACTACTAAAGAAAAGCCGGGTCTCGCGTGACGCCGGCGCGAGACCCGGATTTCCAGGTTTGGGACCTGGGGTGGAGGCGCAGAGCAGGGGAAAAAAAAAGAAAAAAAGCACGACCGTCAGCCACACGAACAAGCGGGGCCTGGGGAGGCCTGGCGACCGTCTTGCAGCCATCGGGTCCGGTCCGTTGCCCGCCTGCTGTCGAGAGAGATCCGTTTTTGCGCCCTCCCGCTGTCGTGCCTTCGCCCCCGCTCTCCCGCGGGCTTGCCATTTTTGTGTGTGTGTTCGGAAATGATCTCACAGCGCATCCACCATGCTACTCCACTCTTTCAGTGGTACACCAGGTCCACCCATAGCCCATCACGTGCTGTTTTAACTGCCACCCAGCCATGGTACCTTGCCAGCTTAAAATGACAGGCCATACGCAAACAAACCAAGCAGTCAAACCACTGCTCTCTGAAGCTACCTCATACATCCGTTGCTAACCACAACCAGTTTTCCAAGTCCCACATACGATGGAGGGCATGGGGGAGGCAGGAGGACAGATGACACACAACGACACCAAGCAGGCAATGAAAACGCATGGGATGACAAGCAACAGCGAAGGACAAAGGCTGGAGGGCACAGGGGAGGTGGAAGGGCAGATGACACACAAGCACATCAAGCAGGCAGGAGGGCAGACAACATGCAAGCACACCAAACAGGCAAACAGGAAAAAATACAAGTCCCAAAAAAATCATAAGACCGAAAAAAATAAAAACCGATGATAACAAGATTGTTTCGTCGGAGTTGCACCGACTCATCAGGAGGCTGAACCCTCGACAATCTGCAGAATCTCCGTATTTGATGGTTTGGGTCATGAACCCTTTGACCCATGTTGAGGGCAGACTGTCCCCAAGCGGGACATAGTGGCGGGCAGCAACGCTGCGGAGCACCAGGCAACGCAGTAGAGGCAGCCCAACTGCTTATCACCAAAGACAACTGCAAGGAATGACAGGGCAAGCGGACGAGCAGCTCGGCAACCGTGCAGTGAAGTGCAAGGCAACATCAGCAAGGCGACCAGACTACAAGGTACGCAAGCAAGTAAAGGACGCAGAAGGCCAACAGGGCAAGCAGACGAGCAGCTCGGCAACCCTGCAGTGAAGCACAAGGCATCACCAACAAGGCAACCAAACTACAAGGCATGCAAGCAAAGGACACTGAAGGCCAACAGGGCACACGGACAAGCAGCTCAGCAACCGTGCAGTGAAGCGTGAGGCACCACCACAAGGCCACTAGACCACAAGGCACGCGAGCAAAAGACATGGGAGGCACAGCCCGCGGAGAGGCGGCAGGGCAGCAGAGCAGTGAGGACGACCTGCGAAGCAAGCGGCACGGGCAGCAAGGCAGCTGCAGAGCACAGACAAGACAGTCTACACATCCAACACGGAGCAAAGCAGCACACGACCTACTCGCATCACGATTGAACCCCGCAGACTGTTGGTTCCCACCACCGCTGAGCCAGGGAGACACTCCGGCGACCATCCGTCATCACCGATAGGCAACACAGACATCCCGAACCGAGCGGCCCGCCTAAGAGTGCAGTTGGGACTCCAAACGAGGAACCACCGACTGTCTAGCACTGCTAGAGGGTGCTCGGCTAGAGACACAAAAAGCACTTAACAAAAAATAGGAGAAAGAGGAAAAACAAACATAACTAAAACTGATTGTGTATGTGTGTGTGTGTGTGTGTGTGTGTGTGTGTGTGTGAGAGAGAGAGAGAGAGAGAGAAAGAACAGGTGAGTCTCCAATCTCGCCGCTGGCC